TGGCATTATATATATATGTATATATATATACACACACATACACACACACACACACACACCACCTTCCTCCTCCCTCCCACACAATGTGGGAAAATCCAGCAGTGGAACATGGAGGAGGGCTTGAGCTCAGGTGTCGACCCAAGTCTAGAGAGCTTGTATGCACAGCACAGGTGTATAATGTCACCCCATGTCACTGTGCTGTGCGGAAATGTGGCCAGCACTCAGGCAGCAATATGAATATGAAGAAATATGCAGGTAAAGTATGCTGTGGCTTGTCGGACGGATGGTCTGCTCCGTCTACTAGAACTACTACTGTGACTTATTCTCTTGCAGCCAGGGCAGCACGTAGACACACCAATGAAAAGTATAATAAAGCTTCGCATTGCTGTTCAGGAATAATTACATTTATATTATACCACAGAACGCCAGTGCAAATGCCGCAGAACGCCAGCACAAATGTATTTTCGGCAAAGAACTGCAAGCAGCAGGCTCCGCCCACTTTACTAGAACTCAAGGCTCTCTGTGAGAATCTAAATCCACGTGTAAAGAAGGAAAAACTGAGTTAGGTACCTGGTAACTCGGTTTCCAGGAATCTTCCAGGACAGCATCTGAGACTCTCTCTCAGATGCTGTCCTGGAAGATTACTTGGGAAAATAGATTGTTTACCGTCAACATGAAGATCAGCATCATGTCACCGCCCAAAGTCTGTCAATAAAATGATTAGCATCAAGATGTCATCAGAATGCATTTCATAGTACAAAAAACGATCTCCATCTAAACTGAAGATTGCTCAATGCAACGCAGGCTGCAATACTTTCACTAAATTACTTTTTTTCTATTACAGTTTTGGTTTTGACTGTGTGAACTTGTGCCAGCATCCATTTAGCCACAAGTTTAGATGCCATCGCATTTTCTCTTGTGTCAGTGCCAATGTTTACCTAAATACATGAAATATCAAAACGCAGCAGCTAATTAAATTGGCAGCACTGCATTGGTTAATGGCAGTGATTACTGACAAATTACATGTAAAACCAAAAGGAGAAGGCTAGCTACAAAGTACAGACAAAGGAGATGCAAAGAAAAAATGTCTCTTTCTAGATGAGGTCCCCAGTTTGGTAGCTTTGCTTTCCACAGAAAGAAAATGGTCATTGTTGATTTTAAGGATGCAGCGATACCATTTTTTCCAAATCGACTACCAATACCTTTTTTTTGTGTTGTGACAGTTTTTCTAAAAGAATACAGACTAATGATTTTAGGACAGTGGTGGAGCACCAGGGCCCAGTAGCAGCTGCAAACGCTGCAACCCTGGTAGTTCTGCCACTGACTCCAAGCTGCAGAGGGACTACAAATCTCAGCAATACATTAGATAGCAATGAAGAATACCACCAGCTATAGAGGACTACAAAAGTATTATTCTGCATCACTGTATAATATTGCTGGGATTTTGCATACTGTATAGCTGATGGTATTATAATAATACCATCAGCTACATAGGACTACAAATCCAGGCAATACATAATGCAGAATAATAGAATATGAATTTGCTACATACTCTGTGGTGCCGCTCTGCTCCAGGTGCTGGCCTGATGTCTCGGGAGGTGGGTCAGAGGGGAAGATGTGCGGATGGTCTCAGAAGGGGGAGATGTATAGGTGGTGGAAGGGCTGCAAGCAGGTGCCACGTGGTTCCCAGGAAGGCTGGCACGAGGTCCCCAGCAAGTGCGGGACCTCAGAAAGCCGAATCAATTTGAAACAAAGTGCAGGCGTCGGTCTTTGGCATCAGACCGATACCTATACTGGTATTGGTGCATCCCTAGCTGATTACTTATTCAAAGAAAAAGTTTTGACAAAAAGTGAGAATAATACAACTATATTCGGGACAGTTAAAAGCAGAACTATGAGGTGAGCGGCAGAACTATGAGGTGAGCAATTTCCACCCATCCCATCCACCCATTAGAGCCGACGTGCGACGTTGAAACTGTCACACGTCCGCTCTATTGATCAGGAAGTGAGCGAAAACATACCACCGCTCACTCGCTTTCTGATCATCTCCCTGCAGAGAGCGGTGACTGTCAGTCACCTCTCCCCGTGGGGATTCCCTCCTCCCTGCTCCGTTTGTCTAAATAGGCAGAGCCCGCTGTCAATCAGCCAGCCGGGTGGATCCAGACAGTATTGTCGGGATCCGTGCCGGCTGCGGCGCTCTCAGCACATAGCAATAGCCAGTGATATACTGAGCTTTGGGTCACAGGAGGGAGTTAGTATGTGTCCTCCTGTGACCCTAAAGAGAACTATGGGGAAAATAAGGTTACCCCATAGTTCTCTTTTAATGATGGTTGTACACCTGATTACAAGTAAAAAGGTACCAGCTAGGGACCTTTAAGTGGAATTTGCAGGAAAAAACAAATGTGGGGCTTTAAAGGACACCTCTACAGAGTGAGACTAACTCTTGGGGCTTGGAAGAAGTCTGCACTGGCTGACAAGCAAGTATTTTCAGAGATGTATAAGGCAGCAGCGTGTACAAGTGAATCTAAAGTCAAAATTTGAGTTTAAGTATGCATTAATATCACAGAGTATGACATGAAGAAACTAATTATATGCAACCTATGAATGTGATGCAGGCAGCTGTAACTTATAATGGAATTTCAGCAGGAATGCATGTGGGTTACATCATCATTGGGCGACCAATGCTCGAAGAAAGAAGATTCTGGTGCAGAAAAGTAACAGAAAACAGCATCAGCGGAGGTGGAAAGTGTGGACCTGTCATTGCTGAAGGAGGGCAAACTAAAGCTCTCCACACACGTTACAGACTGATTGTACAATCTTCTTTAGGTCTACCAACAAGTATGTAGTGCAAGGGGCTTGTCCCACTGGATACCAACTGATTAGCTAGGATAGGTAGGTCCTCCTATTAAATATTTTCGGCACATCTAAGGTTGATTGTACAGAGATTATACTTTTCTGTACACTGCGGCAAGAGTTGCTGTGCCCCCGACACAGTTTTACTTTTAAGGTGAGGCCAGATAGCCGACTCTGGTGACAAACCACAAGCCACAGAGTACCTTTCCACTTACCTCTATGTAATTGCTCTCTTGCTGGGCCTAAACCCTGCTGAATCCCAATTGCTAGTGATGGGAGCAACATTTCGCTGCCTTCCTTAGCAAGTAAGGGAGTGATTGCCGCAGGGACAGACAGGTAACCTTTCAATGGTTCTGCTGCTGGAAACTGGAGCAAATTGCCAGGTATTGCTAGCAGCAGAGTCACCAATCTGACATCAGCCTAAAGCTAACCATACACTATCCTGTGGGCTGAATAAAAAAAAATAAAAAATGTAAAGGTTCCTAAATCTGCGCTTAAACAGCACGCATGGATGAATCTCCAGCTGGGCTACTGTACACTGACAGCAGGCACTGTCAGTGTACAGTGACTGTAGCCTCGGTATGAAAATGTTCAGCACGGCTCCTTAAAGCCAAACTCCAGGGAAAATTATTAACCCTTGCAGTGGGTCTACCCCCACAGTGCAAGGGCTAACTGCTCATTCTGGTCTTGGGAGGAAAAGAAAGTTATACTCCTCGGATCCTTAGAGCCAGCCAGCTGTGACAGAGCTCCCTCCAGCCTGTCTCCTCCTCCACTGCAGCGATAGTATGTTCTTCAGAATCCTCTCGTCCTATGCACCGTGTATTGAATGTGATGATTTACAGGGCCTTAGAGCACTGCAGCGGAGGCAGAGCGGGATTCCAGAGACCGGTCTAAGAGCAAGCCAACTCTGGAGGATCGGGCGAGTAGAACTTAATTTGTTCCCTAGACCAAATTAAGCAGTTAACCCTTGCAGTGCATGGGGCAGCCCCACTGCATGCAAGGGTTAATCATTTCCCCTGGAGTTCTTCTTTAAACAAAAGTCAATTACTGAATGGTCCTTTGTCGAGATGACACTGTAAGAACTGTCAAGTGCACTGTAAGAATTTCGGCTGATTCCAGGGAATCGGACGAAATGCCAGCAGTTTACGGCCCTAATGCTCATTTGATTTCCTACTACTTAACAGTGTTAAACTGATTATGGTTTTTAACTGTAGCGTCACTAAACATGGAAGGAGTGGGATGGAAAGTTTTACTCAAACTAATGAAATTCTAAGGGCTTGTTCACACCAGATGCAGAGCAGTTACAGAACGCATCAAAACAGCATCTTATGGTATTTTGGGCTCTAGTTCACACCACAGCGTTCAGTTCCAGAGCATGTGGAAAAACTGCAGCAGGCACTATTTTTTCTGCTCTGGAACGCATCAAAAACACTAATGCCCTGGAACGCACTGGATTACACCAGAAAGCCCTTTTTAGGCTAAAAACACAAAAAAAAAAAACCACGGACCAGAATGCATCAAAAGGCACTGCATATGCAGAAACTCATGCAGATCTGGTCTGGATTTGGTGTGAACAAGCCCTAATAGTGAATGTGGTTTTCATTCATGAACGTTCATTGGAAAAACTCCCAGTGTATGGTCATCATGAGTGTTTCCTAAACATAACACAGTGCGCCTAAACTATAACAGAGTCTAATACGTACATCTTAAGTGCTGGTAAGTGCACATCAGCACAACATACATTACTGCATGTGCTGTATGTGAATAGCACCTCGAGAAACCGGTGACAGCCATGAACTATGGGGTTCAGTCTTGTCTAGCATTACAGGGACGCTGGTGACATAAGTAAATATGACATAAGCTGGGCCTTGACATATGAGAAAGCAATGCAAACACAAACTAGGATCCTGGACGTATGAGTGGGAGCGTGTACATATGTGGCATGTTCGGAGTAAACATAAAGATGGGTGACATGCAAGCAGATCATATATATACATACTTTTTTAGCCACCCTTCAGTGTACAATAAGAAAACATAAAATGATATAATGATCACACACTGTATGCTCCATAATAATAGAAACAGATGTAGGCTCTGCTGCATGTAGCACTGCCAGCTGGCACTGATGGAGGAGAGCGGCCACTCACCCTGCTATACCATATACTGAGCTGGGTCTGGGACAACACTGCCAGAAACAGGCGCTGCGGGTCCGGCTGGATGTGGAAAGGATCCTCCAGACTCTTCAGAGGACACAGCAGCCTCTTGGGCCAGCCGCTCAGAAAATACATGACGTCTGTCAGTGGAAAGGCAGCTGAGAAGGGCCGAACATAACTTCCGGCGATAACATCGGTCCACCCGCCGTTACACGGACTCCCAGCACCGAACGGCAACGGTATGTACCGGAAGCGGAGAGAATGCCTGGACCGTAACCCTGCAATCCACTTCCCTGCCGATCCCCGCCCATCGCACCTTTCCCGTCCAATAGAAGAGCGAACAACGAGAGACCAATCACAATGCGGATATCAGGATCCAGAGCGGGATTCAGACGCTGGGTGCCATTGGCTGGCTCTTAAAGAAACGCCCCTTCTCTTTGGATAGGCTTGTTTCTGCATGGGCAGAAGTTTGGCATAGGAGTTCGGACGTCACCAGAGGTGGGAGAATGTGAAAACTTAGAGATAGTCGGCAGGTGGTGCCAGTGCCAAGTGCTGATCATACAGTGCGATACACTCTGTTAATTATGCAGTATATTCCTAGTTAATGTACTGACAGCAGCGGATCACTGAATGCTCTTAGATCAGGCTCCTCATTCGATTGACAGTGCAAAGAGTGAAGTGCAATGGGCCAAAGCAATGTACCTATAGCAACCAATCAGAAGTCATCATTTAGGCCCCATTCACACTCGGCATTGGAAGAACGCACATCGCATTCGCACACATTCATGCATGTTTTTTGCAGTGTCTAATCAATGGGCTGCTGCACATGCGAAAAATGAGACAGAAGTACTGTAGTTCATCCAGCATTTTTTGCTGCGAACGACCCACATTTTTTTTCCTGTGCATTTGACTCGTGGGCAAAAAAGCGCATTTTACCAACTGCATTTGGGGCAGGGGCGAATCCAGAGTCTATTCTCGGGAGGGGCACTGCCAGAAAATTAAGTTTTACTTACAGAATGGTTAATATTTTATTTAAGACGGTTTCCCGGCCAACCACAATTAAGCCGGCCAAACAACATGCAGCCGGTTTCCCTGGAAATCAGGAAGCCGGTTGGCATGTCATTACCCGCTGCCGACTTCCTGATTACCCGGGAAGCCTGCTCCATGCCAGTGGAAGCACCGGTATTGGTATTCAGTATCGGCGAGTACCAAAAGCAAAATATCGGTACTCGTACTTGATAACGAAAAACCGGCATTGGTGCATCCCTAGTTTGGTTTAAAACTATTTTTTTTGTATTGGGACAAGTAGATTGTCATGAAGGGCAAGTAAATTCGGCCCCCGCTTTAGCCCTTGGAAAAGTCGTTTTTAAAAAAAAATTTCCACACCCCTGATTACACAACAATGCAGAATACCATCAGCTATAGAGGACTACAAATCCCAGCAATACCATTATACAGCAATGCAGAATAGCATCAGCAATAGAGGACTACAAATCCCAGCAATACATTATACAGCAATGAAGACTGCCAACAGCTATAGAGAACTACAATTCCCAGCAATACCATTATACAGCAATGCAGAATAGCATCAGCAATAGAGGACTACAAATCCCAGCAATACATTATACAGCAATGAAGACTGCCAACAGCTATAGAGAACTACAATTCCCAGCAATACCATTATACAGCAATGCAGAATAGCATCAGCAATAGAGGACTACAAATCCCAGCAATACCATTATACAGCAATGTAGAATATCATCACCTGTAGATGACTACAAATCCCAGAAATACCATTATACAGCAATGCAGAATAGCATCAGCAATAGATGACTACAAATCCCAGCAATACCATTATACAGCAATGTAGAATATCATCAGCAGTAGATGACTACAAATCCCAGCAATACCATTATACAGCAATGCAGAATAGCATCAGCAATAGAGGACTACAAAGCCCAGCAATACATCTTACAGCAATGCAGAATAATATGAAGCTCTGGGTTCGCCGCCTGATGTCACCAGTGTCTCAGGAGGGTTGTGCAGGCTCTCACCAGGGGTCCAGAGAGTTTCACAGGTGCGTGTGGGTGCAGCAGAGGCGGCTCCCTAATTAGGCTCTCAGGTGGCCAATGCAGACTGTCAGGTGATCAGTGCGGGCTCTCTGCTGGTCAGTGCGGGATCCATAATAATTAGTGGTGGCTCTGTGGTAGTTCCCAGGTGGGTAGTGGGGGCTCCACTGTGGCCAGTGGGAGCTCCCTGGTGATTAGTGGGGGCTCTGTGGTGGCCAGTGGAGGTCCCCTGGTGGCTAGTGTAGGCTAACCATTCATCCCTGATTTCTGGGGACAGTCCCCAGATTGAGGAGACCATTCCCTGACAAATGATGTCCCCGGAAATATAAAATAATTTTTTTTTGTTCTGACAGCGGGGGAGATGGGAGGCTGGGCTTGTCAGTGGATGCAGGGATCAGGTGAGTATTAAAAAACAAAAAATGTTTATTTCATGTACCCGTAGGCATGTAGGGCTCATTCACACTGGAATCGGCCGGCATTGTACAGCTCCGTGCTGCGTGCACAGCCGTATCGGGCAGCTCCCGGGAAGGACAGGTGCTGCGTGTGATTAGTACGCAGCCCCTGTCCTTCTCTATGGGAGTATGCAGCCGCACACCCCCCTACGCTCACCCGCCCTGCACGTCCATACGGGTGCATGTTTCCTGGCTCGGACGCAGACAGGATCCATCCTGTCAGCAGACGGGTACGCTCACCCGCACCGACGTACAGGACGGGTGAGCGCAGGGCGGCGTACGGCCACGTAGTCCCATAGAGAAGAATGGGGGCTATGTACTAATCACACGCAGCAACTGTCCTTCCCAGGAGCTGCCCTATACGGCCGTGCACGCAGCACGGAGCTGTATGTGCCGGCCAATTCCAGTGTGAATGAGCCCTTAAAAATGTCCCTGGATTTCAAATCACTGGTCACCTTACCCTGGTGGTCAGTGGGGGCTCAGGGGGGCCCTGGTTGGTAGTGAGGGCTCTCCTTTGGCCGCACCAGCCAGTTTGCCCGCAGCAGATGCCGGAGGGCCCGTCACCGAACCCCCCACGCTAAATAAAAGCCCCCGGCCGTAGGTGCAGTGGCTCCCTCCCTCCATCGCCTCTCTGCCCGGCCGCACGATTACAGAGCCGCATCTGTAGCGGTGCAGGTGGCAGAAAGGCGATGGAGGGAGGGAACCACTGCACCTGCGGCCGGGGGCTTAATTTACTGGTGGGGGTGACAGGTCCCCTGATGCCTGCGGGCCCTCGGGCAGTGCCCAACTGCCCAAAGGGTCAGTTCACCCCTGACTGGTGGTATTCAGCAGTGCTGTATAATCATTATACAGCACTGCTGAATACCACAAACCCAGCTACAGTCCCCCAATCCCCCCTTTCCCCCCAACTTGCCAGCCATCACCCACAGTCTCCCCAACCTCACCTACCTACATGCAGGCTGCAGCACCTCTTCTTCTGTGTCCTTGGCGGCCAGTGGAGGGGTGGGGGTCACAGGAGAGGGTCCACACGATGACCCAGGATGTGGCTGCCTGGCTGTGCCTGCAGAGACGGGTATAGGCTCCGCCTCCACCAAGCTACAGTCACTTTCAATGACAGGCAGGCGTCTGTTTCATTTGGATCCGCGCACACGCCGGAACATACAGCTGTCCCTCCTCTGTGTCACAGACTTTACTGCAGTTCATTGTACAAAGTCTGTGACACGGAGGAGGGAGAGCTGTCACTACACACTGCGGGTGGCTGGCCGTGGAC